GTCACTGGATTCACTGAGGTTAGGGTTGATGCAGACTTCTGCACCTCTGTGTCTCTGCCTGAATCTTCCCTGTGGTTCTCTGGGGTTCAGGGCTCTGATCATCTCCCTAATTGACATGAGAACAAAACATCAACAACAACATGGTTGTGTTATTATTACTCAAAAAACATTATCTAGGCTGAGAGATAAAAGTTTAACTGGTCAACTTCCTTTAAAGTTAACTTACCTCCACCATGCAGCCTCCACTGTAGTTAGAAGCAGCAAACTTTTAACAACAAAGTTTGTGACTGTCCTGTGGCCCCCACCTCACTTTTCTGTCTGTCCTCACATCAGGGTCAGAACCTCCTGTGAAGAGAACATGAACAAACAGTGAACATTAGTGAACTGTTTAAGCAGCTGACTGGATGGATGAGCAGTTTTACAAGCTAAGATTTATGTTACTGTCAATCTTTAGTTAGCTTCTGAGTTTTTTAGCTAGCCACGTAGATAAAATAAATTTACACAGCAATATCTTAAAGTTAGCGTTACATGGATCATAATTTATTTCACCGCGATGTACGTGTTAAGTTGCAGTTACGCTAACAAACGTAACTCACCAGCTGAAACACACAGAGCCGTCCTCGGAGTTCTTTGATGAAGAATCCGGTCGTGGCGATAATGAATCAGGACGTTCAGGCTCTACTCACAGGCTGACTAACGCTGAGAGGAGGATGAGGAGGGTGAGGAGGAGGGGCCGGCTGCTGTCCTCCTTTCTCCTAGCAGAAAAACACGGATCAACTTTCTGCAGTGCGTGTTGTCGAAGCCGTTCGACAACACGCACTGCACACGTGAACCCATCTGTGGGCGTCACCAGCACCATAGACATAATTATACATAGAATAGGTGCGGCAGCTCTATACAGCTCTGGGTGTAAACATGTAGTCTGTTTATCATATGTCTGGTGTTTTACCTGCCTGCATGCTGAAACCACGTGACACGTTACAGCCAATACTGAAACTTGACACCGAAAGAAGAGTGACGCTTCAATACATACACCGACAGGTGCAGTTCGGTCGGTGCCATAAAAGAACCTCAGTTCGGTACTCAGCCCTACGATTGGCTGCTTTTTCTCTTGCAGGAAATTCAACTTGCAAGGGATAACTTCAATTCAATTCAGTTTATTTATATAGCGCCAAATCACAACAAAGTTGTCTCAGGGCACTTTACAGGAACATTCACATAAAGGCCAATTAGTAAAGTTCTCTGTCTAAGGAATCCAGCAGACAAGTTGAATCTTGGCTTCTTTGCAGTCTCCCATCCTGAGCAAGCACAGTGGAGACAGTGGAAAGAAAAACTCCCTTTTAAAAGAAGAAACCTCCAGCAGAACCAGCTCAGGACAAGAGACCATCTGCTTTGACCAGCTGGTTGAGAGGACAGGAAGGAGAGACAGACGAACTTTAGAGCACAAAGCCATGTGCCACTGTTGAACCTTTCCAGTGAATAAAATTAGGCCTGTCGCGATAAACAATAAATTAATTAATTGCATGATCAATTAAAAGGAGGTCAATAATTTTCATTTATCAGCTGTATCGTTTCTTTGTGTCTCTCTCTTTCTACTGAAGACACTGGATGACAAATGGCTCAACTCCGGTGCTCTTTACTGACCCCTCCATTTCTCTTTAAAATCTGTTTTAATTTCCAAAATCATGTTTTTGTATTGCTAAAAGCAGATAAGCTGAGAATTTAAGCTACAAGCTAAGCTAACAGGCAGACCACGGGAAAAAACCTCCATCTTGTCAAAGCTCCAAAATTCACAGTTGAAACCCGTGCCTTCGTGTAAAAAGTTGTTTTTCTCTGCAAAAAGAAGCTGAGAACTTGTTTACTGATTTTTATTAAAAGCTTTGTGTGAAAAATGCTAAAGAGCTCAAACCACCGAACGTCCGCCATTTTGAGAACCTAAGAAATTAATTAATGTCACTACCCGATCTGTTACGCAAGCACGATCCAAGGGGTGTCAAACTCTAGGCCTCGAGGGCCGGAGTCCTGCAACTTTTAGATGTGTCTCTGATGCCACAAAGCTGAATCATATGACTGAATTAGCTTCTCAGTGCAGTCAAGTTCTCCAAAGTCCTGCTAATCACCTCCTTATTTGATTCAGCTGTGTGGCATCAGAGATGCATCTAAGAGTTGCAGGACTCCGGCCCTCGAGGCCTGGAGTTTGACACCTGTGAATGAGGACTCATTTACAAGAGAGCTCATTTGTGCACGCGCTAAAAGTAATACTTCTGCGTCACATGGATCGCCGTTGTTTATGAATAAGAACTGTCTTAATTTACTATAAAAAGTATGTGCTCTATCTCCGCCGATCTTCATGTTGCTATTTTGTGCCACTCTCATTTCTGTTAAACTCATTGACATATTTACGTCATTGGTTGATGATATGCGATGTATTAGAGCTGACCCCCAGCCTGGGCTGAATGAGAAAACCCTACAAGGTACAGAATGAATTATTTCCATGGCGAAACAGCGCCGCTCAGTGGTGAAGCTGCATATCATTTTAACATGACATAAATATGTCAATGATATGAGTGGCGTAAATTAGTGTCGCGAGCTGTTCGGGCCTCAGGTCTCATCTCGGACCCCAGGCCCACCTCCAGCTCATGAGACTCCCAGCTCGGACTCCCTCAGAAGTAGTAACTCACACTTTCTCAATAAATCAAGGAAACATGAATTCAGTTTGCTAATTGTATTAAATCAAGGCAGGAAAGGTTGCAGTTTACAGTCCTGGCCTCTCTCCGATACAATTTGACGCTCGCTCAAGGACCAGAAGAGGTGGATGACGCATTGTCTTACAAAAATATTGGGCCTAGGCTCCGTCTTCTTCCAGGAGCACAGCCCATCATGTGGCTAAGAGGGGCGGACTAAGTGTGATCTCATTGGATCTTATGTGGTCTGACGTGTCGGGAAGAACAGGTGTAGAAAAGTCTCTCTGCATGTTGTAAATGATAAATGGACTGTGCTTACACAGCGCCTTTCTATCTGATCAAGATGCTCAAAGCTCTTTACAACAATCTGTGCCTCATTTACCTATTCATACAGCTCTATACTAGATCTGTACAAAGATACTCTGAATCTGTAGAGATTAATCAGAGCTTTATCACATTCATACAACGATGGGACATGTACATCAGAGGCAGTGAGGGGTTCAGTGTCTTGTCCCGGGACACTTCGGCATGTGACTGCTGGTGGATTTGAACCCCCAACTCTTGCATTGGAGGACGACTTAATAAAGAAATGACAAATAAATAAACTATTCCTTGACGGATATTGAATCCCTGGGAGACTCATTTTTTAGAGTTGCTGGCCGTGTTTAAACCGGTCAGAACCAGGTCATAATCTTACTACAATCCATCTCTGAGCAGATCAATACCCAGGGTCACGGTCTAGATAAGATATTTCTATCATTAGCAACGTGAAGATTGGCAGAGATAGAGCACGTACTTTTGTAAGTAAATTAAGACGGTTCTTATTCATAAACACAATTATAACATTGTCTAGGAAAATTAATCAACTTATAGAAAGAGATATTTTAACTAATATTAATAAATGGTATGTTTCGTAACTATATCTTATTAATATCAACTAATTATTTCCAGTATTTATTTATTTTTTTAATCCAGCATATTTAAAGGCGATCCGTGCGACCCGGAAGTATTACTTTTAGCGCATGCGCAAATGAGCTATAGTTTGGATCGTGCTTCCGTAACAGATCATGCAGTGACGAGAGACAGCCCATGTCATGTCAAGGGGCCTCCCTCCCATTTTTCTTAAAGAAACAACACAGCTCGCTCCCTCACTATCCATCCTTTGGTTCAAACAGTCTTATACTGCCATCCGGTGGTCACAAACATGTACTACACGCAAAACAATTTTAACCAACATTTCTTCTTAAATTTGACAATAACTGCTAATTATTGTCAAATTTCAAACAATATTCTCATTTATCGCAATAATTTCTGAGACAATTAAACGCCCAGTAAAATTTATCGTGACAGGCCCAATACTACTTTGATAATTTTTATTTAAAAAAAATGTCTTTGTTTTAGCAGAAGCAATTTAATATTAAAAAAAAGGTTGTTCAGTCGTAAGCAAAGTTGCCTCACAGTAAGGCTGTAACCTTCCTGTAGACTGTTTGCTTGTTGCATTCTGTTTCCTCCCTCAGACTAAAAACACGTGTGCTAGTGTAGTTGGTAACTAAATTGTCACTATATGTGACTGAGGAGTTGGGTAATTGTCTTGTTTGTTTCGGTGAGGCTGTGATGGACTGGCGACATGTCCAGGGTGTACCCCACCTCTCGCCCAATGAGATTACCAGCTCTCTGCAAATCAAAAACCAAAAGCAGGTAAAGAAAATGGATGGATCAATGGACAAAACAAACGGATAAACTTCTAGACCAGTTTTCTTATGAATTTGTTAATGCATAAGGTAATTCATTTTAGGTTTCATCATAAGTTAGTTATTGGTGGTGCCAGGATTTTTCATATTTAGAAAAAAAAAAGTCACTTGTTTGTAATGGTTGAATATTTAAATGTGAATCATTTTCCCTTGATGTGTTGTTGCTGCTGTGTTAAATTATTGCATCCTGTTTTTTAAATCTAAATCAGCCTCTCTTTCCTCTTGATTTTCTCTTTGTAATTTGACTTGCAGTGAACTCAGAGGTTGTAGCTGTGTCTTTGAAGGGACAGGCTCATTTCTGGAACAAGTTTGAGGAAAAAAAAAAACATTTTTAAAGGGTCAGTTCAAGCCCATTTCAAAGAAAAAACGAGTGTTGAAAAAGTGTTGGGAGATTTAATCATAAAATGTGTTGCCATGGCAACGAGTAGGTTGTGCCGTGGAAGATTTTCCTCGGGGGTTACCTGAGCTACCTGTACAGCTGTCTGGTAAAACTAGCGGTATAACTTAATTAGTGATGCTGCCTTCACCTAATTGCATTTTAATTGCCTTTTGTTTGTGTTGCCAGGTGGTTTCCTTAGTGATGGAAGGGGAGTCGAAATTAAACCCTGTTATGATAGAAGAGGCAGGAGAGAGGGAGGAGCCAATGGATGCCACTCCTTCCCCCCAGCAACAAACCCCGACCACTGCTGAAGAGTCTGGGGAGACTGGTTCCATGGTAACAGAAGATGAAGCCACAAAGGAGCATGGCACAGAGGACGACGACGATGATGATGTGGTTCTTGTCGAGGAGGAAGCTCCTGAGCATTTTACTGCAACTTCCACCCAAGACATAACCAGCACAGAAGGCTTGAAGCAATCTGACACCATCACTGCTGTCGCCACAGATGCTGCTGCCATGGCAACGATGGCCACAGCATTGACCCCTAATTCTCCTCTGTCTTCCAGCCTATCCATGGTGGCAGCATCTCAGAAGCCTGCAACCACAGCACCTGAGCCTATTGTCATTGATGACGAGGAAGAGGCTGAACATAAAGAAACTTCTTTCTGTCCTGTGCCACTTGGAGCCCTCTCTGCACCCCACTCACCAAGTGCACTGAGCAGCACTGAGGCAGACTCAGAGATCAGGATCGCCAGTGTTACCACACTGGGCCCCAGCAGCCAGAAGAACTCACTTTCTGCATCAAATACACCAACGCATTCAGTTGATGATCAGGTTGACATGAACCTGATGATCACCTCTGTGACATCTCTGCAGGGAGGAGTTGCAGATGTTCTATCGGTAAGGTTGGCTTCCCTAAATCAGCCTTAGTGAAAGCAGGTGTTTTCTTTAGCACATTCATGATGGACAAAGGGAATCTTAAAACTGTAACCATAAGGGCTTCTGTGTCTAGGCAGGTGAAGACCATCCAGAGGAAAATGGTCTGCAGATCAGCAGTGCCTTTAGCTTGAATCTCGACACCCCATCTGCTCGACCAACCACCTCCTTTAACCCAGGTCGTGGCTCAGACTCCATCAGCCATCTGGTTCAGAATGGAGACATGGGGACGCACAACAGAACAGGTAAATGATGAATCAAGATGGAATTTAACATTACCTTTCAGGTAAAATGGTCGTACAAAAAAAGAGAGACACCACTGTTTAACTGGAAAGGGATCAAATTCACAAAAGTCAAGAATTCAGTTCAACTCAATAATTCAAGCCTCTTCTTTTAGCATCATGTGAAACTAGGAACAAGATCCGGGAACTCTCTCCTTTTGACCCGTTCTGTTCCGGCAACTCTTTGATCGGATCCGTTAACTCCGCCCCTAAAAGTCCAAAGTCAAAGGGAGGACAGAGAGACAGATGGTCTTATGCAGAGACTCTGCGCAGAGTCTTTCTCTCCTCCTCTCCAAATATTGTCCCTACTCAGACAGCGGTGCTGTGCACTGGAAACCCCCCCCCCCCCCTCTCCTCTCAGACCCCCGCAACAGAAACAATCATTGATTCAGTAGAATAAATTCCCTGCTGACAGTGCACGTTACGCACAGCATCTCCAGACAGCTCTAGCGTGCGCACATCAGCAGATGTATGAAGTCCTGCTACATTTCAGACATAATAAATAAAAAAAAAGCTTACTGTAAAAATGTAATTAAAAATAGAAAGAGAGAAATGTTTGATGTTATTCACTTTATGTCATGTTATGCTAAAAACAAGTCCAGACAAAAGGTTGGCACTACTAATCTTTTTCACCGTTTAAAACGGCGCCATAAGTGGGGTATTAAGCATGTGTGAAGCTGCAGCTGCTGGTCCGAGTGTGTTTTCAGCCTCCTTCCCTGAAACAAACCACGTTATAAAACATTTAGCTGTGCTGTGCCTTGTGAGAGGAAAAGTGAGAGGTGGCACTGTGACATTAATAAATCAGCAGCTTATCATATCGCTAAAGACAAGTCCTTAGCTGCTAACAAGATGGCTAGCGCTTTAGCCATCTTGTTCCACAGCTGAGACTGGGACCATTGCTCTGATAGTGGCCTTCAGCTCTTCTGAATTGTTGGGTCTGGCATATCACATCTTCCTTTTCACAATACCCCATAGATTTTCTATTGGGTTAAGGTCAGGCGAGTTTGCTGGCCAATTAAGAAGAGGGATACCATTGTTGAATGGGTTTTGTTTCACCATCCTCTCCAGGGTGCAGTTATCTCTATTGCTTGTACACTTTTTTTCTACCACATCTCTTCCTTCCCTTCTCTCTATTAATGTACTTGGACACAGAGCTCTGTGAACAGCCAGCCTCTTTTAGCAATGACATTTTTTGTCTTGTCCTCCTTGTGCAGGTGTCAATGATCGTCTTTTGGACAACTGTCCAGTCAGCAGTCTTCCCCATGATTGTGTAGCTACAGAACTAGACTGAGACCATTTAAAGGACTTTGCAGGTGTTCAGAGTTAATCAACTGATTAGAGTGTGGCACCAGGTGTCTTCAATATTGAACCTTTTCACAATTTTCAAATTTTCTGAGATACAAAATTTGTGGTTTTCATTAGTTGTCAGTTATAATCATCAACATTAAAAGAAATAAACATTTGAAATACATCAGTCTGTGTGTAATGAATGGATATAATACATCACAGTACAGCACATTGGTTGGCCTTGTCACTGTTTTAAGTACTCTAAATAAAATGGTATGGTATGGTAATATACAAGTTTCACTTTTTGAATGGAATTACTGAAATAAATCAACTTTTTCATGATATTCTAAATTTATGACCAGCACCTGTAAATCCTAACATTCTTACATGTTGGGATGTATAGAAAATTAGTAAATCGGGGTAATTTTTCTTTGATGCTCACGTAGTTGTTGTGATATGTTGTATTTAATGATTTCAGACGCATCAGGGTGACATTCACAGGTGGACAGCAGGTAAAGTGCAATAAGATGTGAATTCTTTTAATTGAAAATTGGAAAACCGTGGATTTTCTGCATCACTGAAAAGAGAATTGGTCAATTTCAAGGTCCTCATAATTTATTTCACATAGAAGTGCAAAGATCTACTGCCATGGTAAAAATTTTCAGCATAGTATTGAGCCTAGACCTGCAATAATTTTATTTTCCTGTCTAACGTCACAAGACCTCCAGGTGGTGCTGATAACGTTAGATACTGGTACAATTCCAGTGTGGACTGTTGTTTTGTGTGTTGAATGTGCAGCGTTGTTGCACTAGAGCAGCGCTTCTCACTTATTTTCTGTTACGCCCCCTGCTAGGAAGAAGTAACAACTCTCCACTGCCACTAAATAATATAATTTGTCTATAAAATTGTTATAAGTACACCTCTGCATAGCATTTAATCCTTGTTAACATTAAAGAAAATAAAAAAAGAATATAGATCAGCTTACAACGAAGAATAATTATTAATTGTTTTTTCAGTCTGTAACAGAAACAATTTAAAGTGCATCAATTTGCCTGAAAAAAATCTATCCTTATTTAAACTGTAAACATTTTTGACCATTTGATACTGAAAAATAAAATATAATAAATAAATAATAATACATTCAAATTGATCAGCAACATTTTAAGTCAGGAGTGTTGTATAAAACACTTTGACCTACAAAACAACAATGAATAAAACAATTAGTGCTGGAAAGCAACATTGTGAGCTGTTCCATTAACTCTGTAAGCAGACGTGTAAAGTCCTGCCCTGCTTTTGGGGATTGTGGAAAGGTTTTGAAAATTGATCTTTATTATTATTATGAGGACACGTTCTCATTGGACAAATTTGGTTGCCTGATATTTAATTAGGCTCATGTCGTGTTTATTACATTTCAACCCTTGATCTCCTGTTTGAGTACTCAGATATCAGTGAATAACCAATGTGTGAGCACTACCATGTAATTATGTTGTGAATGCTGGCAGGAAGAAGAGCAATACAGACGTGCAAAGTTTGAAGACCATTAGCCGAACAGCTGATGTTTCAAATGTTTAGTCAACAGTCACTTTGTTTTTGTTCAGTCCACTTCTTTTAGAGGATTTGAACAAGGTTTTAGAGCGTTGTTGCTGGGACTTCTCGTCATTCAGTCACAAATTGGACCAGTAGGTTGAAGATTATTTTTGAGATTTCTTTATCCCCTAGATTCATGGATCTCTCAGTCCGCTTCAGTTCCCCGCAACCAAAAGCATACAGGAGTGGACTCTCCATCACCTGCCACCTCTCTGCCCAAGCCTGCAGGCCAGTCTTCCTCATCCACTTCCTCTTCGGGCTCCCAGTCACAGCCCAGAACAGTGAAGGTATCCACTATGGTCAGGGATGGCCTTTTTAGTTGCAGCAGCTGAGATTTATTTTGTAAAAAAAAAGTCCTAACCGTTTTTGAAAAGAAATGTGCAAACAAAATGGCAGCTGATGTGAAAGATGTAAAGCTGACAAACAGAAGTATTGTTAAAATGTGAATAATATTGACATGGTGACGGTATACGTGTTGTTTGCTATAGATGTTTACTAGAACCATCTTCATTAGTTTGTCAATGGTGAGAAACTTGCAGTAAAATCCTTCTTTGCCAATTTGTAGGTGACGTGTGCTAACTGTAAAAAGCCTCTGAAGAAAGGCCAAACAGCGTACCAGCGTAAAGGCTCCTCACACCTGTTCTGCTCCACTACTTGTCTCTCTGCCTTCTCACACAAACCTGCCCCCAAGAAGAGCTGCACCATGTGCAAAAAGTGAGTCTTACAGTGAAATACTTATTTTATTGTCTATACACACGCTATATAACAGTTTTTCATTGGAACTAATACCATCCTAGCTATTTTAGGTGGGCTGTTTCTTTTATTTTCTTACAGCGTGACCAGCCTGATATGTTGCTTTTAATCTATGATGTATTTGTGTTTTCCAGGGACATCACAAACATTAAGGGTACAATTGTGGCCCAGGTTGACTCTAGTGAATCTTTCCAGGAGTTCTGCACCACTGGTTGTTTAGGTGCATATGAGAATAAGCAAAATCCTCCCAAATCAAACCTGAAAACCAAATGCACTGTCTGTGGCAAGCTTACAGAGGTGAGTCTGTCTCTCACCCTAAAACTACCGTAATTCTCGGGCTACAGAACACACCTGTCTCTTTTTAAGATGCACATATTAAATATAAGATAAATCATAATTTTGCACATAAATAAGACACCCCGGTTATTAAGCCACTGGCATCCACTGTTCATCGTCAGGATCTGTGCCCACCTCCAGCAGTGTGCAGCGTTCTTGTACAAGGATCAGCCACCGGATGGCATCTCATAGAATACAGGTCCTTCTCAAAAAATTAACATATTGTGATAAAGGTCATTATTTTCCATAATGTAATGATAAAAATGAAACTTTCATATATTTCAGATTCACTGCACACCAACTGAAATATTTCAGGTCTTTAAATGTTTTAATACTGATGATTATGGCATACAGCTCATGAAAACCCAAAATGCCTGTCCCAAAAAATTAGCACATCATGAAAAGGTTCTCTAAACAAGCTATTAACCTAACCATCTGAAT